ACCCCGTTTATCTACTTTCTACGTCTCCTCAAAGGTACTTATCTTCTCTATTTTATGTACTATCTTAAAGGTTCTTTGTACACTTAATTTTTTTTATCCTGCATCACATTTACCTTCCTTTGGCCTTAATTTTATTGGTTGGATTCAGGTATTGCTTGGTCTAACTGGAGTTGTCCTTGTCATGCTCTCTGTTCTTGGGTCAGTGGGGTTTTTCAGTGCCATTGGAGTAAAGTCTACTCTTATCATCATGGAAGTCATTCCTTTTCTTGTTTTAGCCGTAAGTTGTCATTCTTTGTCCTAGTTCTGTATGAAATCAATCTCAAGCATAGTGTGGCATCCTTTAGCCCCAGTATGTTTGCTCATTTATAATTAATGTATCCTGAATTTCCGTGTTGCCACAGGTTGGGGTGGACAACATGTGCATATTGGTGCATGCTGTTAAACGGCAACCTCTAGAGCTTCCCATTGAAGGACGGGTTAGCAATGCACTTGTTGAAGTAGGACCATCAATAACGCTTGCCAGTCTATCCGAGGTGTTAGCATTTGCTGTCGGAAGTTTCATCCCCATGCCAGCATGCCGTGTGTTCTCCATGTTTGCTGGTCAGAATAATCCAGCCGTTCATGTAGCTTTTGTTCCAGTTTCTCAAGGCCTTAACACTTTAACACCATTTATTTGCAACTTACAGCACTGGCTGTTCTCTTGGACTTCTTGCTACAAGTCACTGCCTTTGTTGCTCTGATAGTTTTCGACTTTCTGAGGGCAGAAGATAGGAGAGTAGATTGTTTTCCTTGTCTAAAGATCTCCTCACCAAACACCGACTCGGACAAAGGTACCAGTAGGTGGTGGCTTATCAACTTATGCTCAGAGAATGCAACCTCTTCAGCAGAGTTTGTTACTGAAATTTTAATTTGTGTTGGTGAGAAGTTCTTTGTGAAATCTAATTAAATTTTTATTTCGTACAAGTTTAGGCATTGGTGGAGTAAGAAGACCTGGATTGCTGGCTCGATATATGAAGGTTGTTTAACATTTTATCGTCAAACTGCAATGCTATGATTAACTGCTTCGATAGTTATGCTTAGTAGCATGCTGATGACTTCTGCATTGATATTGTTCATTTTTTGATTCCTTCGTTTCAATAATATGCACTTTTATCTTTGTTGAAATCTTAGGAGGTGCATGCGCCCATACTAGGTATCTGGGTGGTGAAAATAGTTGTGATTGCTATCTTCGCTGCAATTACAGTGGCTAGCATCGTGAGTATACCAGAATCTATGTTTTTGGCATTGTTATGTTCTCTGATTATTAAAAGATAAGAATAGAACTCCATATCTCCTCACTCTTACAGGCATTAGCTACCAGGGTTGAACCTGGTTTGGAACAACAGATTGTTCTTCCAAGGGACTCCTATCTTCAGGTTATAGATCTCTTCTCATCCTGGAAAATTGGGGTCACATACTTGGATTATTTGAATATATTTGAAGATGTTTTTTCCCCAATCTACTGCAGGGATACTTTAAGAATGTCTCGGAGTATCTGAGAATTGGCCCCCCACTTTACTTTGTCGTCAAGAACTATAACTATAGGTAATAGTCTTTTATTTGCATCACATTTCTCCATCTATTAGCTTGATATTCTGATTAATCTTTTGTAATTACTTCAGCTCGGAATCAAACCAAACAAATCAGCTATGCTCTATCAGCCAATGTGATTCAAACTCTCTCTTAAACGAGGTTCGCTATCTTCTTTTTTAATATAAGAGTATGCCTCGCGTTTCTTCTTCTTTTCTTAATGATATTTTGTAAATCATGTAGATTGCAAGAGAATCATTGAGACCAGAATCCAGCCACATTGCCAAGCCAGCAGCTTCATGGCTTGATGATTTTCTTGTATGGGTATCTCCAGAAGCATTTGGTTGCTGCCGGAAGTTTACTAATGCGACTTATTGCCCTCCTGATGACCAGGTCTAATTCCACTACTTTGATTTTGTCTCAGTTCTACTATCTGATGAATGCCAAGTTACTATTCAGAATCAATTATCGATATTCTTCTGATCTTTTGTCGATGTTGTACAGCCTCCTTGCTGTTCTTCTGGTTCAGGATCATGTGGGCTGGGTGGATTGTGCAAAGATTGTACCACAGTAAGCTACATTCTTCGTTCTAAGAATTAAGAAATACAATTTTTGCATTTAGATGGTTTTTCCAACTTGTAACATATTCTGGAATTCTGGCAGTGCTTCCGTCATGCAGATCTAAACAACGATCGCCCATCTACAATGCAATTTAAGGAGAAACTCCCGTGGTTCCTTAGTGCATTACCATCTGCTGATTGTGCCAAAGGTGGGCATGGTGCATACACTGGCAGCGTTGAACTGCAAGGTTTGTTGAACTGCCAATTAACATATTTGTTTGCATTCACATATAAATCAAGGTATTCACGTTTTAATCATGTTGAAATAAACGTGCTTGTTTAATGATCAGGCTACGAAAATGGTGTTATTCAAGCATCGTCTTTCCGCACTTATCACACTCCGCTAAACAAGCAGGTCAGTTTCTCTCTTCAGTTACCTATACAACATCCTTTACAAGTAATATTATTCATCTAACTTAGTGAATCCAATTTTATTTTAGCGCGACTTTGTTGACTCATTGAGAGCAGCTCGGGAGTTCAGTTCCAGAGTCTCCAAATCTTTGAAGGTGAAAGGCCTCATTCTGGGCTGACGAATTAGTTATTGTGATGTTTATAACCTTGAACCACGTAACATATGTTAAGAATACACTAGACGAATCTTGGTATGCATGGTGGTTGACAAGTCTCAAGTTTTTAATTCAAGAACGGGTGGCTACCATCACGTATCTGCCAGCTTCATATAGTAATTAAGAATCAATGATCAAGTGCCAGCAGGCCATGTTCATGAACGATCCTTCTGTTTCCAATTTGCAGATGGAAATATTCCCATATTCTGTGTTTTACATGTTCTTTGAGCAATATCTTGATATATGGAGAACTGCTTTGATCAACCTTGCCATTGCAATCGGTCAGTAAAAGCCTGGAACTCTCGCCTGCATGTTTTCATTTTTCCCCTTCCCATGGAAGATTTAAATATTGAAGAGTACTTATCACTCAAATTGAATCAGTTGTTTTTCTCTGGATCATTGATTTGATGTAATTTGGTGACATAACAGGTGCGGTTTCCCTCGTCTGTTTCGTGATAACATGGAGGTAGATAATCTTCTTGCCATTTTTTCACAAGAGAGAGAATTTTGACTGCCTATTCCTCTCTTATTAAATGAACAATCCAAGGAAACACATGAATGAAAGATAATTAACTGTTTGTCTTCGTTGTGCATGTAAATACAGCTTATGGAGTTCAGGAATCATTATGCTGGTGTTGGCAATGATCGTGATCGATCTCCTGGTATCCTCTTCTTTCCTGTGACTTATCTTGCCTTCATATTTCTCCTGTCAGTGATTTCCAGTATCATGTTAACAAGCTGTGAGAAACTACACAGGGGGTGATGGCAATTCTCGATATCCAACTGAATGCAGTCTCAGTTGTCAACCTTGTCATGTCAGTGGGCATTGCTGTTGAGTTCTGTGTACATATAACACACGCCTTCACGGTAAGCAGCACTCCTCAGTTCATGTTGTGGTTTGCTGCAATAATTTAATCTCTTCCTTACCTATGACTTTTCATTAGGTGAGCATTGGCGACAGAGAGCAGCGAGTAAAGGAGGCTCTGGGAACAATGGGAGCTTCTGTCTTCAGGTTCTACATTCTCGCACTCCCTCTCTACGGCTCGTTCAACAAGATCCGACTTTCTGAGGTGGACCTCATAGTTTTTTTTTTGTATGTTTTTTTTTACAGTGGAATCACTCTAACGAAGCTAGTCGGCGTCATTGTTCTCTGCTTCTCAAGAACAGAAGTTTTTGTGGTTTGTTTACTCACACCTGTTCAGTCCTTCTGCCAACTTTCACCATTGCACTACCAAACTATACTTCCCTCCGTATGTAACACTACAGTTCTCCATTTCTGCCCCTTCAGGTTTACTACTTCCAAATGTACCTAGCCTTGGTCCTTTTAGGCTTCTTGCACGGCCTCGTATTTTTACCGGTAACTTCTGCGACTCATAGCTTTTTACCGGATGGAACAGAACTTTAGTTTTCGCTCTTGTCTGCTCTGGTTTTGAGCCCTTGGACGCCTGTTTTGCAGGTGGTATTGAGCATTTTTGGTCCACCATCAAGATGTAAGCTCGTCGAGAAGCAAGAAGATCGGCCTTCTGTCTCGTTGCGGCCATGAGAAGATACTAAGTTACAGCTGATTACAGCACATAGAGTGTCATTTCTTACTGAAGTAGATGATTTTAGCCATGGAGTACCCATTTGTGTAGATTGTAATTTTTTCAAGTTATCAGCTAGTGTGATCTTTGCTTTTATCGAACCTACCATATGTACAATTTGAGCTTAACAAACTACACTGTAAAATCAAACAAAAAACAAGGCTTTCTGACATGTAAATGTAAGGAAAGTAAATGATAGCAAATTGTGCTTAAAGTTGGCTTGCATATGTGTTCGCTTCTAGCAGAACTTAATGGCTGCATTTTTTCTCCATTAGGCCACTCGTGGTACCGAGTAAAAAGAGATGCAATGGCCAATGAGTTAAACCGAACGAATAAATTCAAGAACGACTCTATTTCTTTTGTGACCTATAATCACTACACTGAATCAATCAAATTCGATTCGCCACTTGGAAACTATATAACAGGATCCATCTGTTGTCCCTCAACAACAGAAAAATTCATACGAGTTAATTAACTTCCTTGAAGAATAATGAATCAGCCAAATAAAAACCAAGCTAACTCAACCACCTACATAAGGACTTTGCATTCAAATGTTCCAAAGACCATTTTCTAGAGCTAAACAACACTTTGCCTTCCAAACATGAAATCATCTCCTACTTTTTACTGTACACACAAACGTTATATCTACAAACGCATTTTCATCAAACGCCTCGACAAGAAACCTGGAGCAAGAGTTTTATAGTTTGGCTCCCAGATGCTAGGCAGACTTCGATACATTCCTCGACATCGTCGTCGCACGTTATCAACACCCACTCGGAGTCGTCGTCCAAATACTTGACATCGAACCTGCTCATGTCATCGATACCAAACCGCCTTGCAATCTCCATCAACAAGTCGTTGAACCTCCAGTTGTTTGCCATTCGGAACCTCACTATCTCGTTCCCATACGCAACCTTCACTCGCTGAGCATCTGCGTCCCACTGGGGGACCCTCCGAACGCCAGCCTTCTTCGCCGAGGGAGGATGATCACCCGAATTGCTCCGTTCTGCCAGAGACTGGTGGCTCTGAGCTCTTGGAAGTTGTACCTTAACGGGCTCTTCTTCCCCGGAAGCACGAAGCTCTGCTTCACTTCTGACCCTTTTTACCTCACCACTTGCACCGGATGAGGACGACTCCTTTCCCACAACGGAAGGGCCATCGGTGGCTTGAACTTGGTGATGCGACTCACTGGAGAAGGAGTGGCTCGAGCTCGAACCCTGACTGCACGATGATGAAGAAGTTGATTTGACTGCAGCTACAAGGGCACTACTAGAAATGTAGGCAGCCTCGGGCTGCATGCTCAAAAGCTTCGGGTTATTGTCTGGCTTTGAAGCCGGTGGAGAGCCTAACTCGGGGAAGCTGGAGTAGAACGAACGAATTTGTAACGAACCAGAGCCGCCTTGAACAGAATCCATCACGACCAGGAGTTTCTGAAGCGAGTGACCAACCTTCTTTAGCTTTCGAGAAGGCCATCGCGTTATCCCATGCTGCCTGCAGATTCGTTTCAATGTCGTTGGACACACTGCAATCACAAGAGAAGAAAGCACAGGCAAGCAAGCAGTCAGCAACAAATTAGTTTGAAGAGCTAACTTGCACTTTTGTCTCGCTTATATGAATCACATTGGGCACCGAATTCAGTAATGGTGAACACTTCAATTATCTCAACACCGAGCTTCGTAACCGAATTAGCACGCAACCAAAATCGAAAGCATAAAGATCGAAATATTTTTGCATACCTCCAAGACTCTTAGCAGCATCTTTCAAACTTCCAGCAAAATGCTGCCTAAGAACTTCCAATGTGATCTTCTTCTCTGCCTTGGTACGCTTTCTATCCACTTGCTTCCCCTCGCCAGAAGTACTCAAACTCCGTCCTTCATTCTCACCACTCCCCTTTCCATCCGGCGATTTCCCCCTCAATCCGGCGCCTACTTCCGGCGACGCCACGTCACCCTCGCATTCCCGGGCTCCCTCGAGCCCATCACCAGCCAGAGGAGGCCCAAAAGAACCACCAACATGGCGATCAGGCCCACCAATCGAATGACCAGCTTCTTCCCGCTCAATTTCCTCATCCGTCACCACCCTCAACGTCCGGCAAACCCTCTGAATAATCACCGACAACGAATTCAGCATCTCCTCCTGTTGCTCGGCCGTCCGGCAGTCCGCCGGCAGGAAAAACTCGAGCACGAAATCCGAAGAACCCGTGTGGACGCTCCTCAGTCGAATTGCCACCGCGGCACACAATCCGAACATCCTCGCGTGGTGCGACAAGGGGTACTCCGTCTTGCAAAACTCAGTCACGTCGCCGGAGAAGCAAGGCTGGTTCGTGGTGAATGCTCTGCCCGCGACGCCTTGTCCTCTAAGCAAGTGGTGCTCGGAGCAGGCCTCGTGGAAGCCACGAATTCGATCGTCGGATATGAAGCAGGCTTGATCGATCGTGGAGACACAGTGAGAGTAGTTCTCGTCGGAGTGTCGGCTGCCTTTTTTCCCCTGCTGCTGGATGCAGGGGACCCATGTTTGAGCCAAGGGGAGGTTGTGCGTCTCGCAGGCTGATTTCAGGACTTGTTGGATTTCGGGCAATGCGGCTTGATAAGCAATATCTTGAGCCTGGAGAAGAAGGAATATGATTCAGAGAATGAACATCTGAGTATGATTATTTGAATTCATCGCTTTCCACGGACTATCGATCAGTTTACCTTCATGTTCAGGGAGCTGGGAATTTCAGAACTCCTAAGATCAACAGCCTGCAGGTGGAGAAAAGAAAGTTCGATACTTTAGAAACCTCTTGGTCACAATCACTTCTTTCTTTCAGGGTTCATTGCCCAAGTGACCAGTACACTACGAGGTTTTGTAAGGAAATGGTCACTAAATGGAAAATCTTGGCGAAACTGCTAGTCAAGCTCAGTGATTTTTGTACCAAAACAGACGATTCATTGGATCCGTTGTTACTTTGGTTGAGTCAGGATGCTAAATAGGCTCGCCAAGTTACCACGATCAACCAAGTCAGCACCCCACATACCCAACCGACCTCAACCCTTTCAAAATCGAGGGTTGGTTGGATCTTGGACTTCATACTTTTGCTCACATTAATGTTGCAGGAGACGGGTTTGTAGGTTAGGGCCGAGGGTCTGATTGGCTGATGTTGGTGATATGGCGAGCTCATTTTGACATGCTGACTCAACCAAACTAATGATAAACTCAACGGAGTGACTATTTCGATACGAATCACTTAGTTTAGCACACTTTCTAAACATATGCAATGGGATGGGGAGACAAGTAGATGAATCCACTATTTGTTCAAGCAAACCGAATTGGTAGTTGTAGTACAAAAGAACACCAGCAAAAAAATCCATACGGAGCTTTTGCACATAGCATATGAAACTGCCTAATCCTCACATCTACAAAAACTCAAGCTAAGACTTCACAGAAAGTAAAGAATCCACTACTAACCTCAAGGGCTTTGGCCACCTTCTCGAGCTCCGACTGATACTTGACCTCCTGCCTCGTCGTCACAATCTCAATCACACCCAAGCAACTCTTACTCTGTTGCTCAAACACCGGAACAGCCAGAGTGCCGCACACATTGTGCTGTCGAGCGTGATCCACTCTTGGGTACTCCTCGCTCCTAAAGAACCTAACGTCAGGACTCCATTCAGGCACTTTCCTCAAGAACACTCGACCGGGCATCCCCACAAGGTCCTTGGAGTCCTCCTCTTCAGCTGAAAACTGGTAGTTTATCGATATGTCCCTATAATTAGCCAACATCTGGGAGCTCCCATCGAGAGCAAATGGCTGATTGTATGTCGTCAATACACGCCTCCCCATTCGATCTGTTGGCACCCATATCTGCACAAGTGCATCTTTGTCCTTGATCAAGTCTCGAATCCCACCTATGGCGCCCATCAATCGGTCCCGCACTGAGCTCCCGGGCGCTTTAGGTCCAATCCACCACCTTTTAGAACCTTCAATTGCATCACTTCCATTTTCTTCCCTCCCTGAGACACCAACTTCATTCTGTGAAGAATTCCTCATTGCTACTGCTTCATTGCCCATTTGAGGAGTACTGGTTGTAGACATATTGACATTGTTGGTGATCTCCGATGGATGGAAAGTGAAATCGGTTGGACCAGGGTAGTAGAACTCTGATCCATCAGTTGCTGCCTCCACCCAGCAGCCGTCGAGAAGCAATTGATCCATGTAATCGAAATCCATGGTGTTGTCTGCCAAGGTATCGGCCAAAGAATCCAGCAGGGTTCCCGATTGCCAAGAGCCATCCATGCTTTGCCAAAACGCAGGCTCAATTGAACAAACAACTTCTTTGAAGAAACAAAGTAGAACACTGTCTTGAAATCCTAAAGACCTGTTTCAAAGCTGTTCAATCCTGCCATAGTCAATACATCAGAAGCTACAAATAGCGAAAAGAAGACCAACCCAGATTGGCAAATACAACAAGCTTCCATATCTGAGAAAAGACTGCATTTGAAGAATAGAGTAGAGATTTTGACTACTAACACATTTAGAGTCAATGAAGGAACTTCATGAACACCAAGATGGAAAAGGGGAAAAGAGGGTGATGGAAAAAGTCCAACTTGACAAACAACCATATCAAGTAAAGGAAGCCACTATATCCTCCACTAAGTAGACCCAAAAAAGGAGAAGAAAGAAGAAAAGTTGTGCTTTTTCAGCCCCATCCATGGATTCCCCACATCAGGAAATTTCTTTCCCTCTTTTGATCATATTCCAATTTCGGACCGAACTCATTAGCAAAGAGAAAATCCAAATCAAAAGTGATCTCCTTTAAACCCCACACAAAACAGAGATGAAACAGTAGAGCATTTCTTAGTTCATACCAATTCAAACCAGATCTCCAGAATTGAACATGCCCAGAAGAAGAAGAAAGCAGCAGGAGAAAGAGAAGAGGAACTCACTTTTGTATGTCAAAGATTCTCGAAGATACCAACCGATTCTCCTGCTATTATTATAAAGAGAATTTGAGAGAGAGAGAACCCTCAAGGCCTTGACCAAAACTTAATACGTAGGCAAACCAGCAAATATGGAAACAACACAACAAAAAACCGATCTCATCATCATCATCACCCGCCTAAATAAAGAGAAACAGCGCTCTCTCTCTCTCCCTCCAATTAGAAAAGCGCCCATGTCCCCCTGATGAAATCACCCCCGAAAATGAAACTCTGGAAGGAAGAAGAAATAAATTCCCTCCTTTCAGTACTTATCCATTTATTTCCCCCTTTTCACTTCTCGTGAGTTTTTTTTATAAAATTTCCTTCACTCCGCCATTGCCTACAAGATTCGTTCTTTCTCTTCTTTCAGCTTTGACTCAGCAAAAGCCTTACTCCCTTCCCCAAACCAACCAACAAGGTGACCTCCATTGTTTCATGACTGTGAAAGTTTAGAAAATAAAGAAAACAGGTAACACTTCTGAGTGTAAACTGGAGGAATGAAGGCTAAAAATCTCAACTTTACAGTGTAACAGAGAAAACCCAGAAGAGAAACAGAGTGTGCTACTGCTAGGGGAGAAATGGGGAAATCTTGGATTTTACCGAGGTGGGTTTTTTTCCTTTTTCTTCACCTTGTTGGTTGTGCCGTCAGCTTGTATTTTTGTGCTTTATTTATGAAAATGGCTGGGTGACGACCACAATAATAATATGAAGAGGACAAAATTATAAAATAAAAATGTTTTCAGATCCAAGGGAATATATAAAAATCATTCGGCTGGAAAAAGAATATGAGTTTCTCTTCTCCCTACGAATTTGCGACGGGAAAGAAGAAAAAAGGAGACAAATGGCTGCCTTTTCCCCGCGGTTTGGCGGGTTGCACCGCAGGAAAGGGATCTGATGAATGAATTTCTTCCACGAATTGTTTCCTTCTTCTTTAACGATGAAAACAAACGTTGTAGTTAAAAACTGCCGCTCTTCTCTTCTCCTCTTTGTAAGGAAAGAGCAAGACTCCGACTGTCTCACGTACGCTGTCAAGAAAAGTACAGGCTTTCTTGTTTAATGATTCCTCTCCAGACAACACAACACTAATAAAAGGAAACATTTGTACTTTGTCATATTGCCTACATTCGGATTGTTATCGCAATGGAAGCATAAACGGCAACGGACACCCCCAGCCACTAGGTAGCACCACCACCAGAACAATGGGACCTCACCTCATATCTCGAAAGTGGAAGGAATTGAATGGACCAAAATATTCCTATTTAGTTAACTTTTCAATTTTCATCTCAGCAACGAACAAAAAAAAAACAAAAATAGCAAACTTGTGGAAGGGCTACATTAGATCGTGTTTGTACTTGAAAATTTTCTTAAGAAGTTGTGAACGTTTTTTTCAAAATTTTGCTTAGTGGTCAATCTATAAGCAAATCGATTATTGGCTAAGGAGAAAAGTCTCAAAATTCAAGAGCAACCAAAGTTGTACTTCCAAACATTTCAATTCTCACCTATCTCAAACAACTCTCCACCTAATGTTTCAATGTTTCATATAGCGAAAGTCACTTCTCTTTCTAGCTCCCTTTTGTAGTCGAGAGAGTGAACCTCGCTCCCTATAGTAGTCTTTATTTGTTTAATGTTTGTGAATGATGATGATCTTGTGGTACTTATATGTGATGTATAGCTAGGTGGTACTCGCTAATTGGATGAAGACGCTTAATTATTTTTAATTTTACGTGTTGGAATTCGAATTATGAATTCACGTTAGACAATATATTGTATTAATGTTATTTCTTATAATTGTTATTTTATGTAGAAAAATGTAGACTTGTGGTTACCTTATTTTGACTCCAGCAATGATGTTGTTCACCGCGTCTGATTCTAGCGATTTTGCCCAAACATGTGTAGATTGAAATTTTTTATAAAACGTGTGTATTTTCAGAATTATTTTTAAGACTTTGTGTACTTTGGGGGAAAATCTCATTTGGGGGAGGGGGGGACTCAGCCTATGGAGTCACCGTAACTTGGAGAAAACGGTCGATCTCTTCCATCAAGTGGTCGACCACTTTCCAAGAAAATGGTCGACATCTTCCACCAAGTGGTCTACCACTTGAGTCAAACGGTCTACCACTTCCGGAATTGGGTCGACCTAATGACACACTTAATGTTCAATGGGTCAACCTCTTCCACCAATTGGTCTACCACTTGAGTCATATGGTCTACCACTTCTAGAAATGGGTCGACCTGATGACACACTTACCTCCAAGTGGTCGACCACTTTCCAAGAAAATGGTTGACCTCTTCCACCAAGTGGTGTACCACTTGAGTCAGCCGGTCTACCGCTTCATAAATGGGTTGACCTGATGACACAATTACCTTAAGTGGTCGACCTCTTCCGCCAAGTGGTATACCACTCGAGGCAGCTGACCTACTGCTTCTAACAATGGGGTCGACATGTGACACACTTACCATCAACTTACAACTGCTTGTTGGAGGAGGTAGACCGCTTCCTCCAGATTAACCTACCAATTTCGCAAAATGGTTTACATATCTCTTTCGGCAAATGATCCTCGCTTTCGGCGACCAGTAGACCAGATAACACAGTTACCTTATACTTACATTAGAAAAATATTGGACAATAGGAGACCAAAA